AACTCTGCACTAATCCACTCACTCAGGTGGAAACACTACATTAGCCTGTTATACACAACCACACACACAGCTACACAACCACACACACAACCACACACACAGCTACACAACCACACACACAGCTACACAACCACACACACAACCACACACACAGCTACACAACAACACACACAGCAACACGCACAGCAACACAACCACACACACAGCAACACAACCACACACACAGCAACACAACCACACACACACAGCAACACAACCACACACACAACCACACACACAGCAACACAACCACACACACAGCAACACAACCACACACACAGCTACACAACCACACACACAGCTACACAACCACACACACAGCCACACAACTACACACACAGCAACACAACCACACACACAGCCACACAAACACACATACAGCAACACAACCACACACACAGCAACACAACCACACACACACACATCAACACAACCACACACACAGCAACACAACCACACACACAGCTACACAACCACACACACAGCCACACAACCACACACACAGCAACACAACCACACACACAGCAACACAACCATACACACAGCAACACAACCACACACACAGCCACACAACCACACACGCAGAAACACAACCACACACACAGCAACACACACAGCCACACAACCACACACACAGCAACACAACCATACACACAGCTACACAACAACACACACAGCAACACAACCACACATACAGCAACACAACCACACACACAGCCACACAACAACACACAGAGCAACACACACAACAACACAACCACACACACACATCCACACACACAGCAACACAACCACACACACAGAAACACAGCCACACACACAGCAATACAACCACACACACAGCAACACAACCACACATACAGCAACACAACCACACACACAGCTTCACAACAACACACACAGCAACACACACAACCACACACACAGCAACACAACCACACACACAGAAACACAGCCACACACACAGCAATACAACCACACACACAGCAACACAACCACACACATACACAGCAACACAACCACACACACAGCCACACACACAACAACACAACCACACACACACACACACAGCACCACAACCACACACACAGCAACACAACCACACACACAACCACACACACAGCAACACAACCACACACACAGCCACACAACCACACACACAACAACACAACCACACACACAGCAACACAACTACACACACACAGCAACACAACCACACACACAACCACACACACAGCAACACAACCACACACACAGCCACACAACCACACACACAACAACACAACCACACACACAGCAACACAACCACACACACAGAAACACAACCACACACACAGCCACACAACCACACACACAGCAACACAACCACACACAGGAACACAACCACACACACAACCACACACACAGCCACACAACTACACACACAGCAACACAACCACACACACAGCCACACAACCACACACACAGCAACACAACCACACACACAGAAACACAACCACACACACACACACACAGCAACACAACCACACACACAGCAACACAACCACACACACACACACAGCAACACAACCACACACACAGCAACACAACCACACACACAGCAACACAACCACACACACAGCAACACAACCACACACACAGCAACACAACCACACATACAGCCACACAACCACACACACAGCAATACAACCACACACACAGCAACACAACCACACACACAGCAACACAACCACACACACACAGCAACACAACCACACACACAGCAACACAACCACACACACAGCCACACAACCAGACACACACACAGCAACACAACCACACACACAACCACACACACAGCAACACAACCACACACACAGCAACACAACCACACACACAGCAACACAACCACACACACAGCAACACAACCACACACACAGCAACACAACCACAGACACAGAAACACAGCCACACACACAACCACACACACAGAAACACAACCACACACACACACAGCAACACAACCACAAACACACACAGAGCAACACAACCACACACACAGCAACACAACCACAGCTACACAACCACACACACAGCAACACACACAGCAACACAACCACACACACAGCAACACAACCACACACACAGCTACACAACCACACATACAGCCACACAACCACACACACAGCAATACAACCACACACACAGCAACACAACCACACACACACAGCAACACAACCACACACACAGCAACACAACCACACACACAGCCACACAACCAGACACACACACAGCAACACAACCACACACACAGCCACACAACCAGACACACACACAGCAACACAACCACACACACAGCAACACAACCACACACACAGCAACACAACCAGACACACACACAGCAACACAACCACACACACAGCAACACAACCACACACACAGCAACACAACCACACACACAGAAACACAGCCACACACACAGCAATACAACCACACACACAGCAACACAACCACACACACACAGCAACACAACCACACACACAGCAACACAACCACACACACAGCAACACAACCACACACACAGCCACACAACCAGACACACACACAGCAACACAACCACACACACAACCACACACACAGCAACACAACCACACACACAGCAACACAACCAGACACACACACAGCAACACAACTACACACACAACCACACACCCAGCAACACAACCACACACACAGCAACACAAGCACACACACAGCAACACAACCACACACACAGCAACACAACCACACACACAGCAATACAGCCACACACACAGAAACACAGCCACACACACAGCAACACAACCACACACGTAGCCACACAACAACAACAACAACAACAACTTCTTGCAGCGTGCGCACCTGAGTACTCGGGGCTTCCTGCTGCGGGAGGGGTCCCGGTGGATGCGGGAGGGGTCCCGGTGGAGAAGCAGATAAGTCCAAAGAGGAGCGTGAGGCGTCCGTCCGCGGAGGACATGCTGGAGCAGGAGCTATCCCCGGTTATCTCCCGGAGAGAGGGCTCCGGACTGCGGCTCCTGCGGCTCCTTCCTCCCGCATCACGACTGCTGCTCTCCCCGCACACCGAGACTGGCCCCAGAGCAACGCGAGTGCAGCAGAGGAGCGTGTGGAGGGAGACGGGCCAAAGCACGGCCCCCGGGCGCACCGCGGTCCTCCTGCAGGTGGCTCTGGGTCCGTCTGCTCAGAAATAATGATGATAATAATAATAATAATAATAATAACATTAATAATTAAAGTCGCAAGCGGTGTCGAACGGCCCTCGCCGCACCAAGCAGAACCCTAACCCGCCCTGACGGGAGCGACACTGTGCATGTTGAATTCCTATGATCAGTGATTGTGTGTCTCTATTGAAAAAATAAACCTCATTCTCCCCATGTAACACTTGAATCAGCCTGTAGGGGGTGCTAATGGGCCAATGTCATTGTGCACACTGTCATGTGACCTAGGCCCAGGAGTTGAACAACAGAGTCATGTTTAGTGCAAATCAGAGTTTGTAAATGTGCAAACAGCAGCACATGTAATCTGTGAGTGTGTCCATACAGTCTCCATTGTATAACATGGGAACTTCACACCTCTCTATGAAAATAACCACACTTTGAGAGTCTGTCACGCTCAGACCGTTTGACTAATTCAAATTCTATATTCAACTATTGATGGTCCATGTGTTGAGACCATGTGGAGCGAGTTTCAGACAAATTAGTGAAACGGCCGTGGCTGGTTTGATGTTTGAGCGAGGTGTACTTTTCAGAGATGTAATAATTTTCCCATTGACACAGACAGGGGAGTGTTGGTCGTCGCCACGGCAACAGGGTAAAAAATAATCATATGTTGTCATTGACTTTTTGAATCCAGATGACAAAACAGAATTATGTGCAAAATTTCAAACATTTTGAAAAAACAAAATTGGATCAAGCCCATGTAAAATTTTGAAATGGTTTGTAGGGAGCGCTAATGAGCCAATTTCAATATTTCCACTTTCAAATGACCTAGACCCTGGAGCTGAACAATGGATTAAAATGTTGTGCAAATCAGACTTTGTTTGTGCAAACGGGAGCCTCTGGCACAGATTTATCAGTGCTTGGGCACGTGCCGTCGCGTGCCCAAGGCATTACTCGTTGGAAAAGCATTAGGTCCTTACCCCAGTTGGGGCTCGGGCCTAATAACATTTACAATAGTAACTCCTTTTGCAGATTGAAACGGTTGGATCTGAGTGTACTGTGACATATGCAATGCTCCCGAGTGAGTCGCAAGCATTTAGCATTTAGCCTAGCTTTAGCATTTAGCATTTAGCCTAGCTTTAGCATTTAGCATGTAGCCTAGCTTTAGCCTTCTCCTTTGCCACTAACGAAACCTGTGCGGAGAAGAGTTTGTTTTCATTAATGTTGTGATTTTACTGTGTCTGTCTGTTGTACGTGATTGTCTGCTGCAAAACCAATATCCCCTCGTGGGTCAATAAAGACAACATGACCTCTCTCTGGTCTCTCTCTGGTCTCTCTCTGGTCCTCTCTGGTCTCTCTCTGGTCTCTCTCTCTGGTCTCTCTCTGGTCTCTCTCTGGTCTCTCTCTGGTCTCTCTCTGGTCTCTCTCTGGTCTCTCTCTCTGGTCTCTCTCTGGTCTCTCTCTGGTCTCTCTCTGGTCTCTCTCTGGTCTCTCTCTGGTCTCTCTCTGGTCTCTCTCTGGTCTCTCTCTGGTCTCTCTCTGGTCTCTCTCTGGTCTCTCTCTGGTCTCTCTCTGGGTCTCTCACTGGTCTCTCTCTGGTCTCTCTCTGGTCTCTCTCTGGTCTCTCACTGGTCTCTCACTGGTCTCTCTCTGGTCTCTCTCTGGTCTCTCACTGGTCTCTCTCTGGTCTCTCTCTGGTCTCTCTCTGGTCTCGCTCTGGTCTCTCTCTGGTCTCTCTCTGGTCTCTCTCTGGTCTCTCTCTGGTCTCTCTCTGGTCTCTCTCTGGTCTCTCTCTGGTCTCTCTCTCTGGTCTCTCTCTGGTCTCTCTCTGGTCTCTCTCTCTGGTCTCTCTCTGGTCTCTCTCTGGTCTCTCTCTCTGGTCTCTCTCTGGTCTCTCTCTGGTCTCTCTCTCTGGTCTCTCTCTGGTCTCTCTCTGGTCTCTCTCTGGTCTCTCTCTGGTCTCTCTCTGGTCTCTCTCTGGTCTCTCTCTGGTCTCTCTCTGGTCTCTCTCTGGTCTCTCTCTGGTCTCTCACTGGTCTCTCTCTGGTCTCTCTCTGGTCTCTCTCTGGTCTCTCTCTGGTCTCTCTCTGGTCTCTCTCTGGTCTCTCTCTGGTCTCTCTCTGGTCTCTCACTGGTCTCTCACTGGTCTCTCTCTGGTCTCTCTCGGTGTCTCACTGGTCTCTCTCTGGTCTCTCTCTGGTCTCTCTCTGGTCTCGCTCTGGTCTCTCTCTGGTCTCTCTCTGGTCTCTCTCTGGTCTCTCTCTGGTCTCGCTCTGGTCTCGCTCTGGTCTCTCTCTGGTCTCTCTCTGGTCTCTCTCTGGTCTCGCTCTGGTCTCTCTCTGGTCTCTCTCTGGTCTCTCTCTGGTCTCTCTCTGGTCTCTCTCTGGTCTCGCTCTGGTCTCGCTCTGGTCTCGCTCTGGTCTCTCTCTGGTCTCTCTCTGGTCTCGCTCTGGTCTCGCTCTGGTCTCGCTCTGGTCTCTCTCTGGTCTTGCTCTGGTCTCTCTCTGGTCTCTCTCTGGTCTCGCTCTGGTCTCTCTCTGGTCTCTCTCTGGTCTCGCTCTGGTCTCGCTCTGGTCTCGCTCTGGTCTCGCTCTGGTCTCTCTCTGGTCTCGCTCTGGTCTCTCTCTGGTCTCGCTCTGGTCTGGCTCTGGTCTCGCTCTGATCTCTCTCTGGTCTCGCTCTGGTCTCTTTCTGGTCTCTCTCTAGTCTCGCTCTGGTCTCGCTCTGGTCTCTCTCTGGTCTCGCTCTGGTCTCGCTCTGGTCTCGCTCTGGTCTCGCTCTGGTCTCGCTCTGGTCTCTCTCTGGTCTCGCTCTGGTCTCTCTCTGGTCTCTCTCTGGTCTCTCTCTGGTCTCTCTCTGGTCTCTCTCTGGTCTCTCTCTGGTCTCGCTCTGGTCTCTCTCTGGTCTTGCTCTGGTCTCGCTCTGGTCTCGCTCTGGTCTCGCTCTGGTCTCTCTCTGGTCTCGCTCTGGTCTCTCTCTGGTCTCGCTCTGGTCTCGCTCTGGTCTCTCTCTCTGGTCTCGCTCTGGTCTCGCTCTGGTCTCTCTCTGGTCTCTCTCTGGTCTCGCTCTGGTCTCGCTCTGGTCTCGCTCTGGTCTCGCTCTGGTCTCTCTCTGGTCTCTCTCTGGTCTCTCTCTGGTCTCGCTCTGGTCTCGCTCTGGTCTCCTCTGGTCTCTCTGGTCTCCTTGGTCTCGCTCTGGTCTCGCTCTGGTCTCTCTCTGGTCTCTCTCTGGTCTCGCTCTGGTCTCGCTCTGGTCTCTCTCTGGTCTCTCTCTGGTCTCGCTCTGGTCTCGCTCTGGTCTCTCTCGGTCTCTTGTCTCTCTGGTCTCGCTCTGTCTGGTCTCTCTCTGGTCTCTCTCTGGTCTCTCTCTGGTCTCGCTCTGGTCTCTCTCTGGTCTCTCTCTGGTCTCGCTCTGGTCTCGCTCTGGTCTCTCTCTGGTCTCTCTCTGGTCTCGCTCTGGTCTCGCTCTGGTCTCTCTCTGGTCTCTCTCTGGTCTCTCTCTGCTCTGATTATCTGCGCTCTGATTGGTCAGAATGCTCACATGTTTCCTCTGGTCCTGTGGAACCACTACACCTGCTGCACAGACCAGGAACACCAGACCAGGAGGACCAGAACACGTCACTTTGCCGATGGTTGGTCCATGGTGTGAGCGATGACCATTGAACTGAATGAGCAGAGATCTTATTGTTTTTTTGCTTCTTTGACAGGAACATTAGGAGCACAGATAACGCTGGACTCAGACAGTTCCCAGTTCACGGAGTTAGATGAAATGTTTTAGCTCATGTTAGCATGTTAGCGGCGTTAGCATGTTAGCGGCGTTAGCATGTTAGCGGCGTTAGCATGGCTTAGCATGTTAGCGGCGTTAGCATGCATGTTAGCGGCGTTAGCATGTTAGCGGCGTTAGCATGTTAGCATGTTAGCGCGTTAGCATGTTAGCGGCGTTAGCATGTTAGCATGTTAGCATGGCGTTAGCATGTTAGCGAGTACGTTAGCATGTTAGCGGCGTTAGCGCGTTAGATGTTAGCATGTTAGCGGCATGTTAGCGCGTTAGCATGTTAGCATGTTCGTTAGCATGTTAGCGGTTAGCTATGCTGTTAGCATGTTAGCGGCGTTAGCATGTTAGCGGGTAGCATGTTAGCGTCGGTGATAGCATGTTAGCGGCGTTAGCATGTTAGCGGCGTTAGCATGTGTTAGCATGTTAGCGGCGTTTAGCTGTTAGCATGTTTAGCATGTTAGTGGCGTTAGCATGTTAGCGGCGTTAGCATGTT